CCGTATACCACCATCTACGCTTTTATTTCCTTCCTTTACACGGACTCTCTTGATCTAAACCTTTCCGTCGAAACTGTCGCCGATCTGATGGTCCTGGGTAACATGTACCTCATTTCGCGACTGACGTCACTATGCTGTGCACGATTACAGTCAAAATTCGATATAGAGAACGTGGCCAAAATATATCATTGCGCTTCAGTGGCTGGTGCACACGCCTTAAAGAAGAGGGCGATGAGATTCATCAATAATAATTTCGGTCCAGTTTCAAAGACATCGGGACTCAGATCATTACCTCAAGAGATTTTATTTGACTTCTTAGACAACCTTCCAGAAAAAGCGAAAATTAGAGTTGATTAGGTTTAGAAAAACGTGGTAAGTTGCAAATGGATGCACTTACGCGCGAAATCTATTGAAAATTCTTGATGTTCTTAAGGGATTATTTATTGTATCAGAAAATTTTATTAGTAGTCTGAGATTCAATATCAGTGCAAGAAAAGTTTCCTTTTTATTTTTTGGAAAACAGGTTCGTAGAAACATCGAGATATAATATGAACTGGTATTTGATTTATTCAACGACCAGTATATTCAATCAATCGGATTCATGTCGAATTGTATTAGATTTTTAAGCATTTGATTTCATTTGTTGGATGTTTACAAGAAATTTAACAAGAAAAAAAAAACAATCAATAAAATTAAATAGAATTATTTGTTTGATTATAGAATATTTTTTCTCTATATGAATGTACTTCTTGGTGATTCTGCAGGTTTTACATGTGAAGTTTTCAATCTAAATCGCGTTCATTCGTGTTATGAAGTTTGGATCATGTGACAAACTTAAAAACTTTAACAATGAATTAGCGGACGAATGAACGCTATCCTAAGACCAAAAAAGGTCTTAAGCTTAATACGTGGGTTACTGCATTATTTGTTATGCATCAAATAGAAAACGTGGATTCTTAACTGGTCAATCTTTTTTTTTGACTTTCCTTCCGCTTAACAACAAGCGAAAGGAAAATTTTTTAAAGGTTTCCCTTCACTTTCTTTTCATATCTTTGTTGAAATGAGCTGTTGATTTTCTTTTTCCGAAGGCTTGACATGATCAAAAGCTTGTATTCAACAAAAAAATTTTGGAAGAAAGTCCTAGAAAAAGAAGGCCCTTCGAGTAACTATTGCGTGAAAAAATACGGGATTCTAAGACATTCAAGACGAATATACCCTTGTAGAAAAGGATTCCTTCATTTTTTTCACGTAGAAAGCAATAGCATGAAGACGCGACAAAGTCTTTACCTCGGTCAGAGTGGTCGAGCTCTGCAAGATCGTGCTCAAGTTCAACCTCCTCTAGCTCTTGATACCACCAATCTAACACGCAAACGTCCTTCACATTATCAGCAGTGTCCTCTTCCCACCATGGAATCAAGTCGCGGCAGGCTTCATAAAACCTTCCGACGAACTCTTCAATCTTCGATTCCTTCTACAAGTGTCCAACACGTCAGTTCGTATAAGCAATATGGTGGCTTTCATAAGGGTTTTGGAACTAAGTTCGGCAATCAGGGCCATAAGCGATTTACACAGACTATATCGTCTTCATCTTCTTTCCGCAAATCTAGCCGGTCGATCGAACCGATAATTAATAATGATACAAGATCCAGTGGGCGGACGGCAAAAAAACGACCGTTATCACCCGCGCTGTCGCGTACCTCCCATCTCCGTGGAAATCCTGCAAGCAGGAAAGCCCCGAAATTGCCCAAAAACGAAGTTTCAAGCAGAATTTCCAAGTTTAAATCTCAAAAGTCGAAAAAACCTGGAAAAAACGCGTCCGTATCTCGGATTAAGAAACAATATAATAGTGCTAAGAGTGAGAAATTTGCATTCCAACCTTTACCAGACCTGATCTATGACATGAACTATATAGTCTCAACTTATAAAACCAATGAAGTTGGCTCGAAGAAAGAAAATCAATCGTGGATCAAGAATCCTAGGAAGTTTCTTATCAACATCCTTCAACATCCCGTCGAATGGAAACTATATGGTCCCGCCGAAAGTCCATTGCATCGGGCAACCGTCCAGTTGGAAATTTCCGGTACTAGGATACTAGGGCATGGTGATGCAAAGAACAAGAAAGAAGCGGAAAGAATAGCTTTTTTGAACGCCTGTTACATGATCGAGGTTCAAGGTTTAATGGAAGATGTAAGAACCCTATGTGGGAGGGAAAACAGTGATTGCAAGAAATTCGTTTTTGAATATTGCTCCAAATTCAATTACCTCCCTAACTTTAACATCGCAAATGTGGGGTCTGACCATGATGTATTGTGGGAAGCTATTGTGGAATTTCCTTCGCAAAATTTGGTCGGTCGTGGTCGTGGAAAGACAAAGAAAGAGGCAGAACTGAAGGCAGCAGAAATTTTCAAAAAAAATGCGGAAGAATACCAAGCTCATCGTGGAGATTCTAAAGCAGAAAGTAGCATTATCTCAGAGGATCAGGCTAGAAATTTTATACAATTCTACTGCAAGTTCTTTAAATTTAAAAACCCTGTACTACGAGTTAAGAATCTAGGCTCTCTCGAGAGTCCGCAGTGGTCCGCTTCTCTGATTGTTGAGAATACAATAATAGGAAAAGGTGAAAGATCCAATAAACGAGAGGCGCAAAATATTGCTTACTTGGATGCTGCCATTTCCTTACGCAAAGATTCTCCAAGACTTTGGGACAAATTTGAATCTAAGAAGAACAAGGTGAAATCATCGGAAAAACCAACACCAATTGTAAACGTTGAAATGAGCGATCCAACCTTTAATAGTCTTTGCAAATTGATCACTGATATTCGTGGTGCCAATATGTTTAACCGAAAAGTCGGCGCGGAATCTAAAATTAAAATATCGAAACGAACTTTGGAAGAAAAAAAACCTTACTTCAAAGCAAATGCAGGAAAAAAGAAATTCACTGATAGCTACCTCGAAGAGAAATCCCAGAAGTTATATAATAGTTTTCAGGATTATCT